AACCTAGAATTCTATATGAAAAGCATCCTTCAAAAGCAAAGGAGAGGGGCTTCCCTGGTGCCGCAGTGGTTGAGAGTCCGCCTGCCAATGCAGGGAACACGGGTTCGTGCCCTGGTCCGGGAAGATCCCACATGCCGCGGAGCGGCTGGGCCCGTGAGCCATGGCCGCTGGGCCTGCGCGTCCGGAGCCTGTGCTCCGCAACGGGAGAGGCCACAGCAGTGAGAGGCCCGCGTACCGCCAAAAAAAAACAAAAACAAAAAACAAGCCCCCTCCCCCCCCCCCACCAAAAAAGTAAAGGACAAATAAAGACTTCTTCAGACAAAAACCAAGGAAATGTATTATCAGTAGACCTGCCCTACGAAAAATGTTAAAAGAAGGTCTTTGGGGAGAAGAAAAATTATGTAGATCAGAACTCAGATCTACATACGGAAAGGAAGACAAGGAATAAATGAAGGTATTTTATACTTCTTATTCTTAATTGATCTAAAAAGCCTGTTTATTTAAAGTAATAATAGTAACAATGTATTGGGTGATTACTGCATATGGTTAAGTAAAATGAAAGATAACAGTGTCCTAAGGGACAGGAAGGAGAAATTGGAAATGCTCTGTTGAAGGTACCTGCAGTATACATGAAGCAGCATAGCATTATTTGAAGGTGGACTTAAAATGAGCTGTAAATGTATACTGCAACCATTAAAAAAATTTTTTTAAAGAGGTATAAGATGCTAACAGAGGAAATAAATGGAATCATATAAAATGCTCAATTAAAACCAGAGAAGGCAAAAAAAAAAAAAAGGAGAAAATAAAAACAAAGAACAAGCTAATGAATACAAACAGTTATGAACAAGGTACTTATTAATTTAACTAAATTAATCATCCCTTGAAACGTGAATGGTAATGGCCTACATATACCAATTAAAAGACTGATTGCTCAGAGTGGATTTAAAAAAAAAAAACAAAAAACCTAACAATATGTTGTCTACAAGAAACCCACTTTAAAAGAATAGGCAAAAAAGTTAACATTCATAAAAGAAGGTAAGTGAATGGCTAATAAGCACATGAAACGGTACACACCACCACCAGTCATCGGGTCAATGGAAATTAAAACTATAATAAGATGCTACTAGGCATTATAGTTATACTCGCTAGAATTCCTAACAGTAAAGTGTTGGCAAGGATGTGGGGCAACCTGAACTGTAATACAAAGCGGCTCCAAGTGTAAAGTGGTACATTTAAAAAAATAACCAAGTTAAACATACACATATCCAATTTTACTCCTAAGCATAGTGTACAATGACACACACATTTACCCAGAGACATACACAAATGTTTACAGTCGCTTTATTCATAATAGCTCAAATCTGAAAAGAACCCAAATGCCCACCAACATGAGAACGGATTTTTAAATATTGTGATATATTCACACAATGGAATACTCTCGTTAATAAATAAGAAAGAACTACTGATACATAGAACATAGATAAATCTAAAAATCCATTTTGCTGAGTAAAAGCCAGGCATCAAAGAGCTTATGCTGTATATATGGAGTATTAATATTTATTTCATTTATATGAAAATCAAACACACAAAATCTTTGGTGACAGAAATCAAGAGTTGCGTAGACTGGGTCTAGAAAAGGGCAACAGGAAACAAGGGGATACGTTTGTCAAAATTTATTGCACTGTACCCTTAAGACCTGTGCATTTCACTCTATGTAAGTTACTGCTCAGTTTAAAAAAACAAAAAAAATTTCTGGCAAAGGCCTTTTCTGTAGTTCAAACACTGCAAGCAGTAGGTGCATTTATTCTGCAAAGGGTCAGAAAGTAAATATTTTAGAATTTGCGGTCATATGGTCCCTGTTATAACCCTTCTGTCATTGTATCGTTAAAGTATCCAGACAATATGGAAACAAATGAGCATGGCTGTGTTTCACTAAAACTATTTACAAAAACAGGTGGCAAGCTGGATTTGGTCCACAGGCTGTAGTCTGCTAACTCCTGGTGGAGCAACAGAAAATCAATCTTCAAAATTAATTTAAATACACTGTAGTGTTTTTTCCTATATAGTGACAGGCATGATAATTATTAGAAGCCAATTATAGTCCTTCCTAAATTTTTAGGTTTTTCTATACTCATCTAATCATTTAAAATAGAAAGATAAACTAGAAAATCCCTAAAATATATTTAATATGGAAGATCATCATTTTAAAAAATCATTTAATGGCCACTATAGTATTCTGAAAAATTACCCAGGAATGTGAGAAATATTTAAGATACACTAGCTAGTAATAATTAAAGTATGAACTAGAAATTTAAAATACACTTAGTTACACATACAAAAAGCTATGTTACCCACAATGCTGATGCCTTGATTTATCTGGTATAATAAAGTTCTTGAAACATGCCCAGCATCAATCATCATCACCTGGTTTGTTCTTTATTTAAAAGAATTGAAAATTAAGAACAGCAATTCTTGCTGTTTTTAAAAGCATTTCAGAATACAAAATAACATATGGAAATAAAAGAAATATTTTATGAGAAGTACCAAAAGCTAATTTTTTGCCTAATTTAGGCAAGGCTCAAAAACCCTGCAAAGAACCTGCAGGTTCAAACTCTGCAAAGAACACTCAGGGTATACAACTAGGTATAAATAAATCTCAAATACAGCACAGCCCTAAGCTGCCTGAAAATGTTTATCCATCTTCAAGAAAATTCTAATCTAAAAAAAGAATTTAATTCTCTCTCACCATGGTATATACCTATTAGAAGAAACACTAGCAAAATCAGAAGGCTTGGGCTCCAGTATAAGTTTGCCACTTAATTGACTGTGTGAGAATTTGGCATCCATTCATTAATCAAGCATTTCTGAGAGCTTACTATGTGCCAGACACTGGAAACACAGTAGTGAAGGAAATATCAAAAATTCCTGCCCTCATGACACATTCTAGCGAGTCACTTAATCTCTAAAAACAATTCAGTTTTCTTTCACTAAGGTAATGGACTTCATATTTAAGGGTATTTTCAATTCTCTAAAATAAAATCCATATTACTTTCTGCATCCGGGAAAGCAACTGATGGAGCATAACCTGAAATCCAGTCTTTCACTGGCTAAAACTATTTCTTGTGTCATTATATTCAGACAGCAAATAAAAGAAAATAAGTGACATTCTTGAAGAACTTATTTAAATTAGCTAATTTTGGTTTATACAATCTAGAGAAAATATGAGCCTCATTGGCCTATTACTTGGTAACTAAACTTCCTTGGATGGGATCCAAGAAAGAAGCAGAACAATCTTATGAGAATTTTCTTCATATAATGAATAATTTTACAGACATTTCCAGTATTGCCAAGTGAATCAACTAATCAGCTTATCCTTTCTTCAGAGTAGGATCTGATCTCTGTTTCCAAACTGCTTGCTGGAACACAGGTAGTCAGAGATCCTAATTGCATATTCAAATCTAGTTCCTGAGCCTTACATTTAAATTTTTCTCTTATCTATCGTCAAGATATATTTTTCCCCCAAATAAAACAGGCATGACAGTCCTTCAAGCATAATTCCTCAACTCCCAAGTGTAAGTTTTTTAAATGTTTCATGTATTCGTTTTTCCCAGATAAACTCTAGAATCACAAATTATGTTTCTGGTAAGACCAAAACAACTCTCACTTTAAATATCCCTTCCCTCACAGGCCCCTACGGAGACACCAAAAGGGATCCAAGACATAAGCCTAAGCCTGCGGTTTCTATCTATGAGTATCATTCCCAAATGAGAAACTGACATAAGTATCTACCAAAAAAAAAAAAGTATATCCCACCAAGAGGTTTCTCCATTTATTTTCAACTCATAAAATATGTTCGAAGTTTGCCAAAGCAAGCTAACTCCATCCAACTTCAAAAGACAGTATAAGCAGTAGTCCCCAATTATGCTAATCTTGAACATCCTATTGTTAGTCTAAAACTCTGCTATCTTCACGCTTATATTTTAAGATGTTTTAGGAATATGAGTACCACCATCAGATCCAATAAAACCAAATACAGAAGTGTTGAAATTGTTAGCTAGAGATGATGGACAGAAAGCAGCAAAACAACTTTACATAAAATACATATAATATACACATGAATTATTTCCATTTTCTACAGTAATATGAACTGTAAGTGGTCTCTAGAACTAGATTCTCAACTCAGCTGCATCAAATACCAAATTGCTCAAAGAAATCTTAAAACTTCCATTTATATTTTAAAAGCCTCATATTGATGAACTCGATTTGTATTTTAGAATCCAATAAATGAGAAGATTTTGATAAAACTGAAATGACTTATAACTTAGAAGAATCATTACTGTAAAATATTAATTATCCAGCTCTCCCATTGTTCACCTTTTAGACAGTACCCTCATTGCTGGCAGCGAGGTACAATGAAAAAAAAGGTCAGGTTTGTAATCAGAAAGACATGTCTTTGAACTCTGGTGCACCACACCTTGAACACAAACTTTCTGAACCTATTTTTTCATCTCTAAAATGGGAATATTAACACCTACCTTGAAGAACTGTTTCAATTATTAGTGAAATATATGTAAAGCATCTTTTATATAATAGGAATTGAAGAAACTTTAGCTGCTATTACTATTTTATTACTCATAAATGCATCCAAGACAAGATAAAAGAAAGGACATGGCAGGAAAATAAACCAGAGCCTAGGTTACATGTAACTGCTAAAACAACAAAAGCAAATAAATACCCTGATAGTTCAAGCGAAATTTTGGGCTAAACTTTTTGTTCACATTTTATATAAACAAGATAATATTGTAACCACTCTTTATAAACACATAAAATCCAAAATTAGCTACAGGTCTACTTATGTTGGAGCTAAATAAAAATGAAAGATTATCATCATACAATAAAACAGATAATTTTATGAACAGGTGAGATGATTTCACCATTGGAAAAAAATGCCAAAACTAAGATTTAAAAATGCTTATGAAAGGATATTAAAAGATTCCTACCTTTAAACCGACTGCTATAAGATCTGTAACAACACTGTATGGAAAAAGTAAAAAGAGAAAATGGAAAACAAAGTTAGAGAACAAGTTTTAAAAAGACAGAGATAATAAGATAAAGAAAAAAAGAAAAAGCATTATAATAACAAATAATAAAAATAAGAATGTGATGAGTTGTGAAATGTTAATACAAAGAAAAGTGATGGGACAGTCTAGCAACAGCAGAGTGTAAAAGCAAAGCTTTAATAGCAATGTAAGAAACAAATAATAAATCAAATTCTCCTTTGGTATTTAGAAAAATGTAGTTGTGCTTCAATAAAATGAGTACGTGTTTATCCATTTACCTCTATTTAACAAACCCAAACCAAAACTTTAAATCACCAAAGTTCACTCTTTTAAATCACTGGTATGAATTATCGTATTTAAAGTTTTAAATGAAACAAAACCAGTGAGTGGATTTTACAGAAATAGACAGTAACTTGCAAATTTGCATCTACCACCCAAAGGGCTCACCAAAATATAGCTAAGACAGTCTCTCAGAATTAAAAACACAAACATCAAACTTCAGACATCAAAGTTTTCAAAAATTTGCTTTCAAAAAAATTCTACCACATCAAAACTGTGTTTAAGTATCAGTAGGAAATGAGCACACACACACAAAAGAAAGTTGGGATTTGAGGTGGAACTAGAAAGTTATGTTGACTGGTGGTTTGTTTTTTTAACTATCCAAAATAATGAAAAAGGACCCTTTTCAGGCTATGGAAGAATGTAGAAATTTAAGTAGCCTCCTAAAAGCATAAACTGTGTTCAAAACCATATCCCGTAACACCAAGATGTAAAAAACCCACATACTTCTGCCAAGCAAAAATCCATCTCTTCCAACCCCCCAAAAAACTGTCTTCAATTAAGTTTGTCTCAACTCCTAAAAGAAAGCTATAATAAAATTCTATATATTGTTAATAACCTATGTCATCATTACTTAATAAAAGTAAACAAGTTTATGTTTGTTTAATGATGCAAACTTAATTGTTTTAAACAATAACCATGTAGAGTTAAAATTTTTTCTTTTGAAACTTAAATTTTGTTTGAAATCTAAATGTGATAACTGACATTTGTGCATAAAAAATTAGATTGTCTAATATGTACTAGGTATTGGTCCCGATGCAAAGAGTAAATCATGCTGCTACTTGAACTCCCAAATGAACTTACCTTCCAGTATGTCTTACTGCCCCACATATTTAAACCAATAAACTCATTCTTAGATTTCAAACCACATTTAGGGTGAAGAGAAAGTTAACTTCTTAAACACTATCTGAAAGAGTAAGTCTGCACTTCACAGTTGCCCAAGAGTTTAACAGCCAAGATGCATAAGCCAAGAGTCCTCTTTCTTATCACTATAAATTTTCCAATACAAAAAGCTAGTCTGCTTCCGTATCTCAAGTCAAACCACTAGTCAAGACAATTCACTACACATAGTGAAATACTACTTCCACAGCCTTTCTCAACTGAAATATTGGTGTAATTATACAATTAAGATAGTAAAATTCTGCGCACATATAAAGTGTAATTGAAAAAGGTGGTGTGAAATGAGTTTTCAACAATGCTCTCAGAGAAGCTTCAATTAAACAATAAAAATAGATTCAATTAAATTTTAAAAATACTTTGGAGAACACCACCACAAATGAAATCTAAAATTGCACTTTGTCTAACGTCTGTAACAGTGTGCAATGTACATTCAAGTGAGTTAATCCCATATATTATCATATAGACTTATTATAAAACTAGGATAAACGAAATCTAATGAAGGCAAAAATTGTTCGAAGATTCCATCGTCTTTACACAGTACAATTACAATCAACTATATGGCAACATGTATGCGGCTTTACTGTTCAAGCAAGTTCTGTATACTCCACAACCAAGAGGTCTCCAGAAATCTTGTCATCAAAATCAAGTAAAAGGCCAAACAAAATCTCAAGTGCATAATGAAAATAAATAAGTGGATTTGCAGGCTCTAATAGAGGTTTTTTTTTTTGGATCTTGATGCACATAGACTACGACCTTCAACTAATTCACCAAGATCCTAATCTAGTTGTTTTCTTAATCATTCAAATATCTGTCTGGTCCCACCCCATAATCCTGGGTCCCCAGAGAAATATTTATATCGGTGATCCTAAATCTTTATTTTGGCCACAGACCTCATTCACTTTTAAAGCGTTTCAAAGCTCCCCGAAAATCGCACTTATGCAATATTTTGCATACATCGCAGGGAATTCACAAGTTTCTTGGGGGGCGGGGGGTTGGTAGGGGCACGCGTCCCTGGTCACCGAGTCCAGACGCCCGGTGTACGGTAATCGGTAACAGAGCTCCCAGCACAAGCCCGGAGACCGCGTGGGACCCCGGCTCCGGGACCGGGTCGCCGTCCAGACGTGTACCTGCGCGTGCCCTAGCCGTCCGCCACTCCGCGGCCACTCTCCTCCCCGCCAGAGGAAGCTCCAGCGCCCGCCCCACCTCCCCGGTAAACAGCAACTCTCCGAGCGGGAGGACGCCCGCCCCGAGCGCCGCCTCCGCCTCCCCCAGCGCCGCGCACCATTTTCTGAGAGGAAGTGTCTGGAGGCCGGGCCGGGCTCGGCGGACCTCGGCACCCGCGGGGTGCACTGGGCTTTCCTCCGCTTCCTTGGGCGAGGGTGTGAAAAGGCGGACATTACGGGGGCACCGCGAGGGGGAAGGAGAGGCTGCGGCGGACCGCCCCTCCGGGTCTCGGGACTCCCTGAGGAGGCGCCCGGAAGCCCCGCCGTCGGGCTCGGCCCGGGCCGCTCCTTGGGCCGCCGGCGCCGCACCCGGCTCCCCCGCTCCGGCGCGTCCGGCCGAGAACCGAGAAGAAGCGGGCAAGCGCAGCCCGGTGGCCGCCAAGCACTTACCCATCCATGGCCCACACGGAGGAGCGCACAGTGCGGAGACTGACGGGCCCACCGCGAACGGAGGGAGGAGGCAGCGGCAGCAGGGCGGCTCCGGGTACCGGCAAGCTGCGCTTCTCTCGAGCTCCGGCCGGTCGAAGGTGGAAAGAGAGTGGAAAGCAGGGGCGGAGACCAGGGACGCTCCCGCCACCGCCGTGCCCCCGCCTTCCCCACCCCCCCGAGCGCGTCCCCGCCTCGCCTCACCCCGCCCCTCAGCGTCGACGCCCTCCCTGGGCCCCGCCCACAGCCGCCCTCCGGCTCGGCTCCAGGGCGCCCTCTTCCTGCGGCTGCCCTGAGACTCCTCCTCCGGGTGCCCCGCCCCGGCGCGCGCGCCCCGCCCCCGCCTCCCTCCTGCGCTCACGGGAGCGCGCGCCTTGTGCTTCCCGCTTCGCCGCCCCACCCGCGCTCCCGCGGGCTCCACCGGCCTTCCGGCTTCTGCGCCCGGGGCGGCCTAGCTTGGACACCTCCCTCTACCGGCGGGAAAAGCGTTGGGGACCCGACTCCGGAGAGTAGGTAGGAGTGTCCCGCGAGGGCCCCAGAACCGCGGCGGAATTGCCCCGGGTGGGCAAGGCTGTTGGTGGCTCGGCCCGGAGCAGGGAGGCCCGGCGCGGGCTGTGGTCTTCGGAGCCCCAGGCCTTGCAGCCCCAGGAAGCGCCAGTCACCCGCCCGGTGACCCTCACCGGCTCGATAGGTGTGGTTGGGATGAAGATGAAAGAGGGGAAAGAGACTGCCCCGAACTTGAGAATATTTGCGTTTTTATACAGTTTTAGTCTCTGAGTGCCTTTCGACCTCGACTGTGTGGGATCGAATTTATGGGAAACATTCATCGCACAATATGGAATGGCCACTGTATTGCTAGCATTTTATAAAAGTTTACACATTCTCCCTGTAAAACAACAACAAAAACCTACGAGGGAGTGCTTATTCTCGTTTTTCAGATGAAAATTTAGACATGAATAGAATGATTTGCCTACAGTTTCACACCCGCTAAAGCCCTTTCCTCTTAGTCTGAGCAAAATTAGAAGCATATAACTTAGTGGCAACTTGCTTTTTTTCCCTTTTATATTCTGTTTGGTTCCGAAATTGAATGATTTTTCAATTCGGAGATTGCCAAAACGTGAGCCACTAAACGCTGTCCTCCACCAAATTCTTAACCTCCTGAGTAGAAAGAGGGGGCCGCTCCCTCTCATCCTCATATGAAAAGCCAGTAACAAGAAGCTCAATCATCTGTCCTTGCTACTATCCCGCTTTTTAAAAGTGGGTGCTACCTAAAAGATTTAAACTGTCGATTCATCCATCATTCACTTAATATTTATTACTTACTCTGTGCCAAGCACTGCAGGGCTATCCAAGAAAATCAGGTCCCAGCCTTTGCGGTTGCATGGATTCCTCCCTTAGTTTATTTATTTATTGGCAAAACAGTTTTCAAACAGCTCAGGTATCTTATTCAGAGAGATCATTTTTAAAATACTGTATCTAACCTAAATCCCACTTTGCAAAAGGTCAAATATATTCTGTTTTGTATGTTAAATCTAATTGCAGTTGTAAACATTGCCAACTTACATTGCTAGATGGATATTAAAAATATCAGCAAGATAAATAGCTGATGTGGTCTTGCTATTGTTGTTTTGGGGATATATTCTGTTGATGAAATTTCCTTAATTTTTTTTTTTTTTAGCTACACAAGTAATAATATGCATACATGCTCATTTGGAAAATTCAAACAATATTAAATATTAAAAAGTTATAATTATTTTTCTTCACAAGCCACCCACTGCCCACGATAACCAGTGTAACAATTGTGTGTGCATCCTTCCAAGACCCTCACTGGTTTTTGCTTTTCTCACGTAAAAATCCTGGAGATTTTTTTTTCACGTCAGTACTTTTCATTTACTTAATTCTTTTTAATACTGCATAGTATTTCATAATTTCATGTGCCATAATTTTATTTAACCTTTTCCAAAATAGTGGAAATGTACAGTTTCTAATTAGTCAAAATAATTAACAGTATTGCAGAGAACATCATGTATGTCTGAACATCTTTGCACACGTATAATTATATCTGAGGAATAGATTGCTAGAAGCAGAATTGCAGAACAAAGGGCATAAGCATTTTCAGATTTCATAAATATTGCCAAAATAATTCCCTAAAAGCTGAACCAATTTACTCTTTATTTTTAAAAAAAGTTCTATTTCTCTTAGCCAATGCCTTAAGATAACTAATAAATTTCAATATTAAAAAATAACCATGAAGTCTATCTCAAACTCACTGTCCATGTTACTAACAATAACTCTGAAAAGTCTCCAGTGTAAAGTATACCTGACTAAAATGAATAGAACTATATGGTATTTCCTAAACACTTAACATCCAGTTTTACAACAGAAGCCTAGATAATCAAAAAACTACTCAGGACAGAAAACAAGGTGAAACCTTGTCCTTTCCTCTGCCTCTTGGTCATAAGTTTAAAAGACTTCTCATGGATTCAGCTCCACAGGTTTGTGAGTTTCTCTGATTCAAGAACAGTAGATAGTATGGAATTTAGTTATGCTACAACACTTTTAGAACCCTAGCTATCCCCATAATCCATATGGCATTGGAAAACCGTGGCCTTCTATAATGTCAGCAGAAGTTTCTGAGTTTCTGGAATGATCAGATATCACCCACATGACCTGGCTTTGCATGAGAGCTTTATGTTCTGTATACTGGCTTCTTGATGGCAAAGAGGATAACACATTCTTTATTTGCTAATTGCTCTATACTTTTGAAAAGTAAGACAGTTACAATAGTTTATAAATTTTCTAGCATTTAACCTTCCTGTGTTTTTATTCTAATATTTTTTCTTTTTTTTTTTAAATTCTAAGAAATTCCCCTGAAACACCTTCATCTGGTAAGAGACACCCCTGCCCCCTCCATTATTATGTTTGGACAAAATGTAACCTTTGAACATTTCCCTTAAGGCATTGCAATATGCAGTGGTAGTTAACATTTAACCAGCATTATTACCCTATTCATGTTTATAGGTAAGACTTCTTAAGACAGAAAAATAATACAGAGATGCCAATATAAGTCAGAAATAAGACCAGCCATTTGATGAATCTGGGAGGTGGACATTTTAATATCATTTTATCCCCTGATAAATATAAGATCATAATTGTTAACATATATATGCTAAGACACAAACATATGAAATTATACTGAGTGAAAAAAGCTAAACTCAAAAGGCTACAAACCATATGATTGCATTTATATGACAGTCTGAAAATGACAAAATGACAGAGATGGAAAACAGATTAGTGGTTGCCAGGTGTTAGGAAATGGGGGGCGGGGGGGTTGGATATGGAGCGAGAAGGAGATGAGTGTGACTATAAGGGAGTAGCAAGGGGGATTTTTGTGGTGATGGAGCAGGTCTATAGCTTGATTGTGGGGTGGGTTATACAAATCTACACATGATAAAATTGCACAGACCTTTAGACACAAGTGCATATAAAACTAGCAAAATCTGAGTAAGATTTGTTGATTGTACCAGTGTCAATTTCCTGGTTTTGTTACAGTTATTAAGATGTTACCATTGGGGGAAACTGGGTGAAGAGTACGTGGGACCTCTTTGTACTTCTTTTAAAACTTATTGTGAATCTATAATTATTTCAAAATAAAACAATAAAGAAATATTCCAAAGTGTTCCCTTAATACATGTTATTTGTTCAGTAGTCAAGCAATAGCTTCAAAGGCTTAAGAAAAATGTGTAGGTGTATAATTCATATTTTTCAGGCTCTATCAACTTAGTAGGCAGACTAGGTTATAATAGCTGACACACACTGAGTCTTCCCAGTCTGTTGTATGATGAGCCTTCCTTCAGAGTCCTTCCCAGCTGTTTGAGGAGTAGAGTTGAAAGTGTTTCCTGCATACTCACTGACCTCTCTGCCACCATGAGTTATGTCCGTTTTCCTCAGCCTGTTCCTGGCCCTGATGTAATCATTTCCATGTAAAGCTGCTAACATGACCAGTGCTTGGTTCAGGGCACTCCAACGTTTGCACTGAAGATGCTGTCTCTCGTCACTGTCCTATAGTAGCAGTTGCCAGCCCAGTTGCTCAGCTGAGGCATGGACATTGAGCAGTGGATTTTCAAGAGTAATTTTTCTTTTTACCATACTGTATCACTGAGGTCCCAACGTCTCTCAAAGTTTTCCCGTTGCTGAGCACAGGCTCCAGACACGCAGGCTCAGCGGCCATGGCTCACGGGCCCAGCCGCACGATCCCACATGCCCTGCATCAGCAGGCGGACTCTCAACCACTGCGCCAACAGGGAAGCCCTCTCAAAGTTTTTAATAAAACAGCCCTTTCCATTTTCATTCTCAGAAAATCCTTTAAGATTTAGGCATGAGTCTGGGACAAGGCCGGAGAACAATCCGAGTGATAATCACTACCCTCTTTTAAGAATCATCATTCCCCTTAAGCACTGACCTTTTGTACTTAAGACTGGTACACTCTACTCTACCCTGAGGGTGTGTTCTCACTTAGGAGTTTCCTTGGCCCAGCTTGGAAGTAGATCTCTTAGAAATAGAGGACAACATATCTCTTCAGAGATGCTTAAGTATATTTGATCCTGCCTGATTTCAAACTGAGGACCCTCTCGCCCATGCTCACAAAAAGAGAGGAAATTCTATTCACTACAACAAAGAACTAGAAAGGGGCACTGTTTGAGTTAGGTTAAGGAACACCTCTGAAATGAATAGTACTGTATGGTAAAGAGTGGTCTTAGAGCCAGACTAGCTAGTTTAGAATCTTAAATCTTTGTGAAGTCTGTGCAGCATTGCATTGCCCTGGCCAAGCTCATAGTGGAGGAGAACGTCCCATCCCAGCCATTGCCACCCCTGGGAGGAGAGGCTTTCCCAGGATCAACAGTTTAAAGATTCTCAATGATAAATTCTTGTGGCTACCAACCTATTCGGCTGACGCATGGACACTGAGCAGGTGAACATTGCCTTTAGTGACAACATTCTTGAGGATTCTGATACCTACCTATATTATGTGGCCAGATCAGGCCATTTTGGCACCAAGGGCTTGGCATCACA